TCGAAAATGCTCTTTCAGTATCTACACTAGTTGGTGGTACTGTTGGCAATGCACAATATACTTTTTCTAAGTATTTACCTCTAAATCCCTCATCTTCATACAAATTGATTTCTCGTCGGATCGTTTTGGATATAACTGATTTCTGTATTGTATTTTGATTAGTTGAGATTTTTTTAGTTATCGCTAATTCTAATTTTTGTTCAAGAGACAATTGCTTTTCACTATCGATATTGACATTAGTGTCATTGTCATCTTTGATAACTGTACCGAATTCTTCTGAATGTGGATAGGTTTGTTTTTGTAAAAAAAATTAGGAAAATTTATTATAAACTTGATCAAATTTGATTTGGTTAGTCTCTTCTCTTCTTTTTCATTTTTAAAGTCATTATAATTATGTAAATACTATAAGACATTGCAACATGAAATTTATTGTTGCATTAGCTGTTAATAAATTAGAACCTCTCTGACATAATGCCTCCACAGCCAGTTTTAATGGAAATAGAGCTAATACAGTTCTGAATATTAAGTTGAATTCACTATCGGAAAAATTAATTTGACTGGGTTAAGCCGATTATTGCTTTTTCAGTTTCAGAAATCGTTCCATAATTAGGAGTAAACTGTTCCAATGGGTTTTAGAATTTAATATGTTCTGTTTTATTTTCAGTTAGTATACATTTTTGTAATAAGTCATTTTTTGTAGGGGAGCATTTAAATAGCTTTACAATTTTTCAAACTTTATTAATTATTGGAAGCAATTCTTGATGAGAATAGTTAATATTTGATGAGAATAGTTAATATATGTTAGAAAAGTTAATATTTCATCCTCATTAGCAATATCTTTTTCAACAATTACATTGTTATTATCTTTATTGTCAGTATCACTCTCACTCTCTTCAAAGTCAGAAGTTTCTATATCTATAGTATTTGGGTTCTTCTGTTCTTTATTTTTTTTGTATAATATATCTATTACTCCTAATTGAATTCCATGAGGATAGCACAATTGCTGATTTGTACCAATCAACTTTCCAACTTTTTTCATAACCATTGCTCTATCAGTCGTCATGGATACAATATCTTCTTTCAGGGATAATCCATGTTTCCCTAACTTAGATTTAAGCACTTCCACACATTTTTCAGCTGGCATACTTCCCATTGTAAGTTCTATATTCCAATTCTCCCCCCCCTGAATGAATGTTTATATTTAAATAGTATCTATTTCTTAAACTTGTCCATTCATCAAATGTAAGACTAAATTTTTCACCATTTCCTTTTGATTGTATTAACTTGTGTTTCAAAGAACTGCGAACACTGTTACTGTAGTTTATAATTCTTATAGTATTAATCGATGTTGGTAGATTTTTAAAACCTCTAGCGGATAGTGATTTTCCTAATTCAGTAGAAGTGCAAATCACACGAAACAGCAAACCATCTAATGCTGTCTTTTTACTTATAATTTCACCAAAATTATCTTTTTTTTTTTTTTTTTTCAAAATAATCTAAAATCCCTGATGGCTTGGGCTTAGAAACTTCGCTTGAATTTGTATCTTCATCGCAATTAGATTCTTTTCTCTAACAAATTTGTATCATGTTTCATTTTTAAATGCGTATAAAGTCTGCTTGTAATTCCTGCATTCACTTTAATAACTCTTGAACATTTTTTACATTGTGCCACCGTATTCTTTTCATCATATAAATAATGAAACCAAACCAAAGTATTATCACAGATTTATTATGTTCTTTAAAGTTATTCATTATTATGGGTTTATTAATTATGAGTACATAATAAATCTGAAAAATATTTTAAACCCTAAAGTATGATATGCAAGCACAATGTGAATAACAGACTCACCAATTAAAAAAATATCAAAATTTTTCAAAATTTATGCACTTTTTTCACAACTATAACCTTGTTTTCACAAATACGAATATCAGACTACGAATCTTGCACGTGTGCGGTATCACTGAGCTGTAATAGGACAGGACAGTTTTGGCCTGCCTCCTTGGATGATTCACATATTGTATCACTTCTCTAGACTGTACGATGCAGCTTTTTATTCACAGTTTAATTAATTTCTCCTGTTAGGGAGACAAAAACATATACTATTTTTCTCTGTTGGTGACCCCTGAACGTATAGTGGAAACAATTTAAAGAATTTCTAGTAAATACCAAAAAAAAAAAAAAAAAAAAAAAAAAAAAAAAGTATTTAAACTTGTGAATACCAGTATTACAAAAGGCTCAAAATATCTGTATTCAGTATCTCGGTATACTGGTATTCCAATCCGTAGTTTTGATATTATATAATATTTTTGTAATACTTCTAAATTACATTTTATGTGTTAATTAACTAAATTACATTAATGGGAACAATTGAAACCTAAAGGCTATGTCTGAGGAAAGTTATTTTCTGTCTTGTTGAAAAAAAAAAAAAAAAAAAAAAAAAAAAAAAAAAAAGCGTTGTATATATTGTGCAGAATTAATTTTCATTCTCTAAAGCTTTTTTCTAAAAAGGCTCTTCTGTTGCCAAACCTTTTTCTCTTTAAAGGGGAGATATATAAGATATAAAAATGAAAGGAAACTAACTTTAATTTCGCAGTAGCCCTTTTTTATTTTTCATTTTAATATATGGCTGCCTCATCTTCCTTTCCTAATGAATCTAAAGTGTGTCATTTCAAAATTAATCTATCATGCCATCTTAGCAAGTGTAGCAGTGCAGATATTTTTTATCCAATCATGGATGAAAATTTCAACAAAGAACTGACTTTATATATATATATATATAGGTGCAGCTAAATGTGAACTTATCTCCCTGCCTTTCGTATGCTCAGTTAGCACGTGTAATATCGCTGCTGTCTAAAGATGTGATAATTTATATAAAATTGTGTGTGTGTGGAGGGCATATCACCAGTATTGCATCTTAAGTCTTGCTTGATTATGAAATAAATCTATGTTGAATGTGTGGCCACGTTTGTTAGTTTTCTTTTTCTTTATGCATGTACGACACCACTTCTCACCATGTTAAGAAAATCTGATGTGTACACCACATGACTTCTTGTACAGAATATTAAATTATATGCATTTTTTCTTGCATTTCCTTTAACTTATTACATTGAATTAAACCTACTTCGTCAACAGCGACAATAGACCACAATAACCACAATAGAATAAATACATTCTTTAAAATTCACTTTGTTTACCATAGCGACACTCTGGCGCTAGGTTCACTTAACAGTATTATATTTCGTTCATATTATAACTCAGAATGCACAAAATTTATAACATTTAAAGAATTATCTAATCGTTGCCACATGTTCTATTCAAATACGATAACAAAGCTAGAACGATGTATAAAAGAAATTAAGCAAACAAAACAAAAAAAGAAACAGTTTTTCACAGACGATTGAGTATTTCTCATTCAATTAATTCAGTTCTCACTTCACGACAAGGCAAAAATACATAAAAACTCAAAATATCTGTATTAAAAATTACAAAGTAAATCTTAAATACTTATTTCCTTGAAAAAATTCCAGAAAGGATTAAGCATGATTTAATTCGCAATAATAAAAGAAGGCATTATTTTTGTGTTGCGAAGCTTAGTCTCTCTAGATTGGCAACAAATCTACAATTCTGCTGTTTCAAATGTAACAAATATGTCCGCCATGTTATTTAAAACTTAACCACATGTTATTAAGACTTAACCTCACTTAAACAGCTTTTAAATTGTTGATAATTGTACAAATATTGCTTCCAGAATTACGAAAGGCATAAAAACTTTAACCGGAAGATAAAAACAACATAATTCAACCATTTTTAAAGCACAAAATGTACAATTTACAAACATATAAGAGTAAAGAAACTGAGATCAATGAGCCGGGTCACAGAGTGGATATATTTATAAATATATTTATATACGTTTGGCATGGCCGATTGAAACCAAAATACAAGGTGCACATCTACATGTTACAGCAGTCTTATATACAAAATTTCAACATTCTGAGGCTACTCATTTTTGAGTTATGCGAGATATGTACGTACGTACGCACGTACGTACGTACATACGTTCGTACAGACGGCACGAAAAATTCTCTTCAGAATTCATTTTAAAGCAGTTTTTTAGTTTTTTTGGAGGAAACGAGTCTTTTATTCTGTCCTTACGTATAGATATCACGCAAAAACATCGTTAAATTGCATTTGAAAGCGGTCAAAGTGGATATTTTCGTTGAAATATGCTGCCTGAAGCTTTTCGCGATTACAATACTTCCTTTTTACTTCGTACAAGGAAGTAATAAGAAGTCATCATTGCAAGTTATCTATGGAATTTATTACACATGTATATAAAATCGTCCAAAATTTTATTTTTATTCTTAAAACATAAATAATATCTGCTGATACTAGCTTATAAAGATAATTATGTATGATTAAATAAAATTAAAAGTTTTTTCTTTTTTCTTTTTTTTCTTTTAAAACCTTCTGCAGTTTGTTTTTGAATGGAAAATGAAGCAAACAAGGAAAAAAAAAGGGGGGGGGAGATATTCAAAGGGCTTTCTGAATGAAATTTTAAATAGTAATGTATGGAGAAAATTATTGCCTGTACAATTTCTTCAAAATTTTATCACTATGATTCAGTTTTATTTTGTATATAGGTTGTCTGTTGCTGTATTGTAAGGTATTAGAACCATAGTTTATTTTTCAATCTAATAATATAAAATAGCACCATAGAATTGCTGAAGAATGTTAAAATACTAATAAAATAAATTTTTAAATGACTTCTTACCCTGACAATCAGTACACTTTTATGATACTCAGTAAAGAGATCTTATGTTTCATCAACCAACAACAATGTTGTGATATATATTTGTACTAGACAATATTTAGTGATTAAAGGAAGAAATAAAACATTTTCCTTAGTTAATTGTTAGCTTACCTTTTTATGTGCAGAGAGTAAATATCTTTTTATAATAAAATATAAGTTAGTGATTTTTAACTAAGTATTGATCTTCAGGTATTCCTTACAGACGAGGTTATTTGCTGTATGGGCCACCTGGCTGTGGGAAAAGTAGTTTCATGTAAGTATATTTTTATTTATTTATTTTTGATCAATAGGAATTTGTATGCTTAAACAGTTGTATCTTATTTAAATATTTATGATATATGAATGATCTACATAAATTTTGTCCCACATTTATTGTATTTCTTTCTTTTTATTTTAAGTTACAAATATTTATTTCGATCATTTTTTTTTCATATATTTGTATTAGGAATTTAAACAAAAAGAAATATTTGTTGCCTAATTAAATAATTTGACAACTTTCATATAGGCATAACTGTTGAACAACTTGATTGTAAATAAATGAAATTTAATTGAGAAAAGTATACAAGGTGATTTAAAGCTCTTGGCCTAAATTTTAGGAGGTGAGAGACCCTCAGGTACTCTGTGTGTGTGGCATTCTCGATGTATCCTAGCTCTTCAGGAGATCACCCTCTTGGTGAGATGGTTTTCATGATCCTGGAGCCCCAGTGATTTGTCCATGGTGAGAAAACTGCCTACGCATCCAAATGAAAGGCACTTAGCTGCCCTTGCTAGTGTCAGTCAGCTGTTTACTAATCCCTATATCAGTGGCTTGGGAATAATCTTTCGGGAAAGCTAATTTTGAGGCTTCAGATTGCGTACAGACTCCACTGTACGTAGTGTAGGAATCTGTGTTCTCTTGTTAAGCTCCACGGAGAATGGAGCTGCTGGATCTGATTATTGCTTTATTTTTAAATATAGCTTCTAAAAAAAAAAAAAAAAAAAAAACCATTCATAAACCTGATCAAAATTCAAATGTGCATTAAAAAGACCAGAACTGAAGCAAATGCCAATGATGTATGCTCTTATGTATTTATGTATCTCCCCATTTTATATAGTTATCCTTAACACTGATGAGAAATTGAGGAGAATATCAGCATTTCTAATTTATAAATAAATATTTGCTTCAACAAGACCTCCCCCCCCAAAAAAAAAAATCTGCAATCTGGTGACCTTTTAGTTGAAACAGTAATTCATGTACAGTCTGACAAAAATCTCATGTTTGGGACAAATATAAGTCTCAATCTCAGCTCAAGGATCTTTGAATTATTCCTGTGATGCCATCTCTTTAAAGCAGCCATCAATTTGGCAAAATATCAATTAGGATTAAAGGTCAACATATATAGCGACTCGGCCTCAAGTTTGGAGTCCATCCGAGGGCACAAGACAAGGAGTCCTTTGGTGCAAGATATTCAGAAAATTCTTCTAAGTATCCCACCAGATGACAGACCTATCCTGATCTGGGTTTCAGCTCATGTGGGTATTACTGGCAATGAAGCGGCGGACCTGCTTGTGAAATCTGCTGCCAATGACTCCAGTAGATTGAAAACACAGTAAGTGTTCTGCAGTCCTATTTAAAAAAAACCACGCTCGATAGCCTTTTCAAGAACGGCAGAAAAGATGGGAAAAGGAAAGCACAGGGAGGAGAACCTACAAGTTCTTTCCAAAAGTCACTTGCTCAGTTAATACATACAGTGGAGCACAAACTCAATTCTACACTGGCTATGGTCCCTTCCCACATTATCTTAAGAGATTCGGCATACGAGCATCAGATTTGTGTGAATGTGGTGCGGTAGGTGATGCAGATCACTTCCTCTTCAACTGCCCACAAACCGATAAACTGCATTTAAAAATGCCAAGCAGTGAATACTGGCCGCAATGGGCGGAGAATACCCGCAGCAACAAGCAGACGAAAACTAAAATAGAGGAGGTAATCAGGCTTTGCTCAGCAAGATACTAAGAAATTCTCCCCCTCTCTTGAGAATTGTATCTTCACAGCATAATTTTAATAGCAATTCAAAATACTAAAACAACTGAATATCAACAATAGGAAAATAGCTCACCCTGTAGAATAATAACAGGACTGTAAGAGCAACTATTGTAATGTAAGCATATTACTATCCAGTTTGTATGTACTTGATAAAAATAATATTGTAAAGCAGTTTAAATGATATTGAAAATCCAGTCAATGTATAAATGAATTACAAGTTTAATTTTGATTATCTCAGTAAAAGTATTGTAAATATGAATTCATATAATGTTTAAATGTACACATTAGCTGTCATGATTTTATGTATCTATCATATGTAACTTGTACAAGACAATGATTGTAATCAACATATCTATGCTTATACACAGGCCTTGTATGCCCATGTAATATTTATATGTATATTTTTACACGGAGGAAATTTTCCCTTCTGCCAGGATGACTACTAACACTGTAAGACTTTTACAACAAAGTCAGGTCAGTGATTATCTCAGGCGGCACTCAGATGTGATGCCATCTTTGAACTAGATCTAAAGTCAGTTTCCAAAGAAGAACTTGTGCTGGATCTTCAAGATAAAAATGTATGTTGAGCTAAGAGCATACAGTTTTCCAAAGAAGGTCAACTTAACTCTATCAGACATAGTATATACTTACATTCAAGGTTTCAGATTTACCAAAAAACATGTTTGCATTGTCATATTTATCCATGTATATCAAACCTGCTATGCTGTTTGAACTGCTAGTGGTTTGGACGTACAAAGACTATTCATCATGGGCAAACTCCTTGATGGTTGACTATGACTGTAATAACTGTAGTGCTGCCACTTTGTGTGTTAACTATAATAAAGAACAGTATTATGCCTATGCTCGGTCTTGCCATGTCTGGGAAAAAGAAGTTCAGTACCAATTAATTTTATTCTTCTGTAGTCAAATGAAAAAAGTCAGTAGGAATTGGACACCACTAACTATCAAGCCAGAACCTAATTCTGAACAAGTAGTAGTTTTACTTCCACACAAAGCCCTTCACTCTCAAGCATCAGTAAACATATTGAGAAAAATGCAGAATAAGAAAGATATGAAGGACACAGAAATGGAAATACCAAGGGAAAAAATAAAAATATCCCAGAACTGAAAGTCTGAGCTCATTTGAGAGCATGAGCTCAGAACATTTAGATTCTGAGATGGATGTGATGTCCTAAAACATCTTCAACATAAAACTTTGCACTCCCATCAAAAGGTCTTGAATTCACTGCCAAAATAGTGGGGTGCTAAGACTTCCATATAAGAGCAATCAATCGATAAAATTGGAAAAGCATGAAGCATCAGTAATCAAGCAATTACTTTTTTCAAGAAATCCTTTTTTTTTGCAGTGTTGTTCTTCTCATGTGCAGAGTGATCTCTTTTCAATTAAAAAACATCAGAGAATTGCACAATCATTACAGTACTCTTATTATGTATTGATTATAGCAGACTCTTAATACTTCACTAATAAAATAAATTCTAATGTGGCAGCTCAGAAAGGTGCTATGTACATTTCTGGGTTGCTACACTAATATTTTTCAGTAAAATTGTGGGTTGCTACATAACTATTTTGGCAACATGCTGCTTTGCCTCATGAATACATTTTTGTGACTTATAACTGGGGTAAGGTAGATAATTACAAAGTGCTGAAAAATATTTGTATCTCAATTTTTGAAAGTTTTGAGTGTAAATCCAATAAAAGATGCATTACAGAGGGTGTTAACATTAATGTTAAATATGTGAAGAGTATTTTTTTTAAATGTTCAATCTGATAGCCTATATTCTGAATTATAATTGTGCAGCATGACTTTCATGATAGAAAGGCTTTTTATAAAATTTCCAGGGATACTGATTGCCATTCCTCTTCCACTACTTTTCAGAATTCATCAATGCTAGTGGGTTTGTACACTTAGAAAGTTTGCACATTTAACAAGGTTCTACCATTTGTTCTGCGTTGAAACACATGTCTAGGCAGAAACTGGTGAATTGTTATGTGTCAGCTTTTTTAAGTGGTAAATCTTAGTTATTATTTTATGTATTGCTGCTACAATTATATTTAAAGACTTTTCACTTGGTTTCTGCTTTCACAGATTTTCTATTGTTACCAGTGGCTTACATTAAGAAACATTAAGAAATAGTACATACTTTTTTCTGGTATTTGTTTGGAGTCTTTTTTTTTTCCATGTAGAAGTAATGATTGATGTTTTTCCCTTTCCAATTAATAGTATTGCTTATTTTGCACTCAGAAATTTAAATACCATGCATTTCACAATGTTTTTGAAGTATGGAATAGGAAAGCACAAAAACATATCCTTCAATTCATAGCTTGTTTACATGTGACATTTTGAAAGAGGAATAAATTTAATAGTAGCAGACTGTATTTCTCATTTCAGATCAGTTGTCAGAAATTTTTATTCCAAAATATTCGCATTTTTTTTAAAATTGTTTATCGAAATAGTTCTAAAAATATGCAAAACGTCCAAGTTAAATTCTATGCAAAATTTTGTTATAAAATGAGAGTAAATATTTTTTACGACTTTTTATAAAACAATAATAAATGTCTTGCTGGAGGTGTAGATATTCTGAATGTGCCAAAAAATGTTTCAGTCTCAGTTTTTGAAAGATTTGTGTATAATTCCACTGATAGATGCATTAGATGTAAAATTCTGGATGAAATTTTGTTATAAAACAAGAATAAATAATCTTTTATAAGGTGAATATTAACTGCAAAATTTATGAATGTAAATGTAAATGTGAATATTAACTGCAAAAATTATGAATTGCATTATCTTCAGTTACATTATGTAGAACATTTTATTTATTTTTTTTTTAAATTTAGAACTGCTTTAGCTGGCGAACTAGAATACAGCATCTGTATCTTGAACTTAAGTGAAAGAGGTTTATCAGATGACCGTTTGCAACATTTAATGAGTGTGGCTCCACAGCAAAGCATCATTCTGCTTGAAGATATTGATGCTGCTTTTGTAAAGAGAGAGGAATCTGCTGCTAGTATGTCAATTAACATTGTGTATATTCATAGGAAATGTATTTCTGTCTTTTAATACATTATAAAAGTGTTTAATTTCTTAGAAAAACAGCAGTTTTAGGCACCTGTTGTTGAATCTTAAGATTTTTATTATTATTCTCTGTTTATTTATTTCTTATCTTGACTGAAAACTTACTTGAAATTGTATTATTTGTAGCAGCTTGAAAGATTTTTAAAATTTTGTTTTCTGGAATTATTTTTATGTAGCTTATTTCATAAATTTGTTCCATGTATAGTAAGCTGCCGTTTCAACTTTTAGTTTGTAAAAATCTTTTATTTGTACGAAATTTGGCAGGATAAAAGTATAAATATAATATCAGGCCATCCCATGAATATTGCCTTTCAAAGTAGGTTTTGAAAAATTTAAAAAGGAAAGGGGGGGGAAGAATTAAGAAAGATTCTAATTTAGTCAACTATATGTTCCTCATATGTCTCAATAACATTCTTCTGATGCTGTAATATTTTTTTTTTGCACCATTCTTAAAAATGTCAACAAATTTACTGGAGAAAAAGGCCTTGAAAGTATATTTCAAATTCTCATGGAAACTGTATTCTTTCAGTGAAAATTTGCAAACTTTAAACCAAAAGTCACTTTTCATTACCAGGCACTAGTGGTTCAAAAAAGAAAAAAAAATCATGTGAATGAAGAGCAGTGCAGATGCTCCCATGTTCCCATTCATAAGCATCACGTAATTCATGTGAAACCTGCCTGTTAAGCATAGACACAATTCCAGGTTCCTTCAAATCATGATGAAAATATAACTTTTGTCAAGTTTTCCGCAGTTGTATATTAATTACTTCTTTCAAATCCTGCTTCAATGCATCATTATGAAAAAAAATAGGGTATCCACAGTGGCTGGCATCTTTCAAGCTAAGGTCATCTTGTCGAAATGTACAGAACCATTGTTGACACTTAAAAATATTCAAAATACCTTTACCATATGCTTCTTCCATATTTTTTACAGCATTTGCTGTTCTGTTGCCTTTTTTATACACATGAAGTTTAACCTGTCCGATGTGTTCTTTTGTGGCTCTCCTTTTCGTGAAGGGCTGTTTAAGCAATGCATTAGTACATGCATGATTGTAAGCTAGAATTTATCTAAATGTAGCTAGAAGATGTTTTATGAAGTTTTGTGTAATATGTGACATTCCTTATGACACGACCTGATATTAATTTGCCAAGTTTGTTCAGCCTTTGTAAACCAATTTCCAGAAGCAAACATTTTGTAAGTATGTAAATTATGGCAAAATGTAAATTATGTCTTAAATTTCATGTTGCTTTATGACTTCAGGTATTCTCAATGGTAAGACCGTTTCTGTAACCAGCATTCATGAGCAATTTTCAAATGATAACTAAGCTACTTCTTAAAGCATATTTTATACAGTACAAAGTCTGTAAACCGGACTCGTTGGGACTTCGACGATTCCGGATTAGGATTTTTTCCGGATTATAGATCATCAATTTAAATCTGGTAAGAAGGCATGCAGAAATTATACAATTAAAAATATGAAACCGTAATTTATGAAATAAAGAGCAGTTATGATCTAAAGGGTATCAAAATTTTAAAAAAAAAAAAAAAAAAAAAAAAAAAAAAACGTTAAAAATTTATTTATTTACTTTAGTAAACATTTCTATCAATGTAAGTTGTTTAAGTTGCTTTGTTTTTTGTGTTATTACTTTCTCTTTAATTCTATAAACAGACATAATTTCTTGTTCAGTTACAAAGTTCCACTGTTCAAGTCCTGTAAATGCTGTGTCAAGAATACCGACTAACTTGTCAATCGAAATTTTTTCATTTTCAATAATGTTCTCTGTTACTTTCTTCACTATCGGAAGCGCGCATGGGTAAACGCTTTACTAGCTTTACGCACATGCATAGTGGACGCGCGCATCAAACGCGCATTGGTAAACTCATTACGCGCATGCATAAGTTTGTATCTTTGAGGTCCGGATTATAGATCATTCCGGATAATTTACATCCGGATTATGGACATTGTACTGTACAATATTGTTCATTTATGCTAAGTAACAAATAGAATATCAGAATATAACTTATATAAGAAACATACATTGATAATTATTTTAAAATATTAAATTCTTAATTTTTGAAAGACATTCTGAATTTAAATATAGGGATCTGATTTGTAGATTTTAAGAGGATATCTGCAATATTAATAAATCTTAGTCACTATTATGTGTAAAAATCTTAGTGGTTTAAATGAAATACCGTATTTACTCGCATATTCCCTCCTTGCATACTTTCACTTCTAGTTTTTACAGCATATGTTTTAGAAACTTGTGATTTATAATAACAATATAAATTTACACACATATAGGAAATTATTTTATGTAAGTAAAAATAATAATATTTAATTTGATAAGTCTTTTGAAATTAATAATATTAGTATGTCTGTATGTATGCTTTTTTAATGTGCTATGTGTATCATTTAAGCTGTCTATTTAGAAATAGTGTATTCTATATCCCCGCCCCTCTGTCTATTTTCAAGAAACAAAATTAGTAGGTAAAAGAGGAGAAATATGTGAGTAAATATTAATATATGTTAAAAATTTAAAGGGACATGCAGTTGCAATGTATTTTAATTATTACCATTTGTATTGTTTATTTTTGGTTGGAATTAAATTTAAAATTACAAGATTATATTTAATTATTTCTCATTTCAAATTTTCAAAAATATAATAATTTTTTATATTTCTTGTAGCAAAAGTTGCTTATGAAGGTTTAAACAGAGTAACCTTCAGTGGTCTTTTAAACATGCTTGATGGAGTAGTGTCAGCTGAAGCTCGTATACTCTTCATGACAACAAACTATGTAAAAAGGTACAGATTTTATGTTTTATATATTGATATCACTGGTTGATTTTTATAATTTATTTTGATCTTATTTAGAAACTTTATTTAAAAAAATATTTTATAATAGTTTGACTATGTTAACTACTTTGCTAATCACAATAAGGGATGTATTTTCCATGTTTTCGTATACAAATAAGCAGTTACTTCTGTGAATCGATAACCGTGTGTTAACATTAATCATGGTCACATTAAGCAGAATGTGCTGTATATCACATCATGTAGTGTTGTTATATTAAAGCTAGTCAAGAATAAGGATTAAGTCCAAGAGACTTGCAAAGTTTTTAAAAGAGTAAGAGGAGCATTCAATGCTCATTATCATATTTCAGTCAGAGTAGTGATGAAATGGAAGTGTTCAGGTTTTGAAGTAAAATTTTTCGGAGTTTTTTGTATCAGGCAACTTGAGTTTCACGATTTACTACACTTCTTACACCATTTTGACATAAGATGGCTTCATGAAGAATGTCATAAGGAAAATTTTTGTGTTATACATGCAACCAGGACTGGCTGAAGCATTTTGGGAATAGTAGGTTTTCACTGTAGTTGGCATCCCATGTGAATTAAACATATTAATAATTCAGAGAAAATTACATTTATTTATAGTCGTTTGTCAGAACAACTTAGCCAGCACCATTCAAAAAATGCTGCTCTGGTTGCCTATATCACCTAAGGCCCATATCACCATCACTGGCTTTGAGTATGATATATATTTTTGTTATGCATGAGGAAAGCTAATTGCTCATATAGCTAGACCACTTCTGTGACAATTAAGTCATTGGAGCATCTATCAACAATTAATGGTTTTAACTTCTTAAACACTAAAGCCTTTTCTGTCTTGTAAGAACAAAAATTAGATCTTTTCTGTTATAGGACAACATGTGCAGACAAACAGCAGTTTTCTAATGAAAGATATATGCACCAGTATCAAATGTGTTGCCCTTATCTCTTATAACAGCATTTTTGTTTTAGAAGTTTTTAAAATATATCATTCTGTTTTGTTCTTTGTTTATTGAAATAGATATATATATATATTTATAATTAGTGAAATTTTGCAGCAGTCAAAATGAACTGGTGACAGAAGTATATTTTCATACTGTGGAAGTACTGAATTGATGCATATATCTTTCTAGAGAAAAATGTTTGGTTTATGTTGTCCTGAAGTGGAAAAATATCCCCAAAGTTAATCTTCATTTTTTTGGTGGCACATGTCCATCAGCCCTTGAAATGCATTGAACGTGTTTTTTAGTACAGTTAATCTGAAGTAAAGCTTGTATTTTGTCAGCATCTCTTGCATGTGTATTACAAAATGTTATTTTTGTATATTCATCTGGACTACACCCAGACTTATTCATTGAAAGAATTCATCCAATTGTTCCATTTTTTTTCCCATGGAGTGTTTGGTTTCATTTTAGTTAATAGGTTTAGTTCATTAGTAGAAATATTCTTAACTTCACAGATCTTAATGCAATACACTTTTGTTTACATGATTTCTACATGAAAGACACATTGGCTAAATATATTATAAAACCATTAATAAAGTATCTGTTAGTTAAGTTACATCTTCAGTTTGCATCTAAATAAGTTGATAGTTAATTCATCATAAGTTGAAAATAAAATTTCATACCCTTTTGTATTGAAATGTATAATTTGAAATATGAGCTGCAATTAATAATTGTAAATAGTAAAACATTACTTCCTGACATCATTCCCAATCCCATGGGGGGAGGAGGAGAGGGGAAAAAATATTTTTTACTGTTGACTGAACAGCTGACTACTAGAAAATGAGTGCATTTCAAGCTGAATGTTTCAGTGATGGGTATCTAAATCACACTGGTGGGGAGTAACCATGTTTTTGCATATTTTAGAACTGAGGTAGGTAAGTGAAAAGCATAGTCTGGAACTTTTCTGTATGAAATCTATTTTTTTTCTTTGGAGGGGGATATGTATACTCTGGATTTTCTTTGAAAATTTCATATATACTTTGCTTTCATATATACTGGATCTTCTTTACAGATCTTTCTTTAAATATCTAATTTCCAAGTCAGTACTAGGAACAATACTGAATATTGTAAGAATATTATTCTTTCATTTTCTGCAATTTAACTTAAACTTTCTGCAATTTAACTTAAGTGTTCAATTTTAACCCATCTGTAAAAAGTATTAGACTTTTAGGGTTATCTCTCAAGTCTTGCTATGTAAGTTTTCTGATGCAGATAGTAGTTACCATTGATAAAATCAACTATAACTAAATCATCAGTATAAATTCACAGGAAATAGAGTAGAAAGTCCAATATCCGGACATATCCGGACTTCAGGGATTCTGGATTTGGGATTTTTCGTGATATTAGATCCTCAGTTTAAATCAAATGAGATGATATGTACAAATTATAAAATTAAAATTATGAAACAGTGGTATGTGAAATAATGAAGCATTTATGATATTAAGGGAATCAAAATTTATATATGTATTTTAAAAAGCTCAATGTTTATTTGTTTGCTTGTTTCCTTCAGTATAAGTGCTATATAAGTGCTATATAAGTGCCTTCAGTTGCTATGTTTTTTGGTAAAGGTACTTTCTTAATTTTATAGATGCACATAATTTGTTAAGTTCCACTGTTTAAATCTTGTATTTCTGTGTTGAGAATTGCGACTAAATTGTCAATTGATTTTTTTTTTTTTTTTTGTTGTTCTCAGTAATTTCTCTGTCACTTTCTTCATAATCAGTCGAAGTAGTTTCTCAATTGAGAACCATACTACTAATTTTGCCATATATTAATTGATTGAATATTGGGGCATTGCCATTGCAATGAAAAACTTCTGTTATATTATCTTCATTTATTACTACTTCTCCACATTTCTTGACAAATTCCATTAATTTGAAAATTTCACTATTTGTTTGTGATATGTGAAAACGTTCAAATTCATGGTTATCATCATAAGGCTCAACTAGCATCCGCTATATACTGTTGGCAATGTATCATTAAATTAGCAACTAAATTTTGTGTTGCTTCTATTGCATACTAACAAAGATAAACCTGAATTAGATTAATTATTTATTATTCTTATGCCTATTTCCTACACATGCTTAAGCCTGATCTGTGTCCTGAATATATAGATTCCCATGTATTCTTAAGGCTTATACAGCCCTAGACATTTTGCAGCTGGTGTAGTTTCTGTGGGTTTCTCAAGTTCTACTGCCAAATGTCTTCCTAAACTCTAAATATTTTCCTGCTCCTAAATTTTGCATCTCAGTAACTTAATAAATCCTACAGATTTTGCCATTCTTTAGTTTTCTTTTTCAGTACTTTTGTAAATTCTAAAAATTTTAAGTAAAAATTAAGTAAAATTTCATAAATTCTGTCACACCAACTCTGGCGTTGATCCTGGGCTTATCTGAATAGCAAATCAGCTCTTAATTCTAAAGCACTAAATATAATCATTTAGCATATGAGTATCATTATTATTATTATTGGCATATGGAGAGGAATATCTGTTAAATTTATCCTCGTTAACACACTCACCACTTTGGAGTTAGCTGAAGTCTGTAAATATCCCAAAGCATAATGTGAAGATAAAAATTGTTTGGTATTCAATTAGTTATATTTAAAAAATAGTTTAGACATCATGAGTCATTTCTCAAGCTGCCATGAATTGATAGTCATACAATGATGAAAGCAAAAAATAAAAATAATGATCCCAGGGTGGCATCACTTATGTAAAATCAATGATGTATTGATGTAAAATGTTTTGGTTTGAGATGTATGCAAAGCAAACATGTGGCTGCAGAAACAACTTATTGATCATACAGATTTATGCTAATAAATGATTATTTCTTCAGTATGGAGGTATTTTATTCAATGCTAAATTAAAATCAAGAACTGGGACTTCTTGTTTTTATTGTGAAAAAAAAAAAAAAAAAAAAAAAAAAAAAACTAAATGTGCATGTGTAAGGCAAACAAAAATTTAAAAAAAAAAAAAAAAAAAAAAAAAAAAGAAGAAGATTGCTGTCCAAAGGTCTGGACATTCCGGACTTTGTACTGTATTTAGTTTGAAATGTGTAAGCACAATTTTATCAGTTTAATTTTAAAAACCTAATGCTGCTTATAAGGCTTTATAAAGTTCATGGTTTCATTAGAAACCACTTAAATATGTAATCCATGCATTGTTTTTTTGTAAAGGACAAACTGTATTTTCCTCACTTTTGACAATAAAACGTGGTGGTTGTAAAAATAAATCCTGGTCTCATATGATGAGTCTCAATATGTTATAATATAAAATTACAAAAAGTTAAATTTATTTTGATTTGAGGATCATAATTTAGGTTTTTTGGGAGGTGGGTGGACATTAATTTGTGAATTTTCCTCCTGCAATCTCTGCTGTTCCAGTTTGAGATATTTGCAATTATTGGTACTTCATAGACTTTCAGTTTTGCCTTTCCTGTCTTCAAATTGATTTCCAATTTCTTCATTGAACGCAAATGAATCATCTCAAATCTTGCAAGAGTTATAAGTTGAAATTTTTTTTTTTAAACCAAACATACTGTAAGGATCTTAAGTTTTACTAACGTTTATTTTATTTTAAATCTTTGCTATCACTTCTTATTTTCTACTTCCGGCCAGAATTATAAGCGTTAAGGTTTTTATGCAAAGTTTGTCTGGCGAACGCCAAGTATTTAAGTTGTGGCTTTTTGCCAAGCGAGAGAGAGGAAGCAGTGAGTCGAAGCAGGCCGCTTACCTTAGAAGTTTTACGCAGTTGCTTGTTGCCTTCCAGGCCAGAGGTTTTAATCCTCTTGATAAATTGTAAACGTATTGTAGTGTTCACAGTTCTCTGTACTACATACGCTTCCTGTTAATATAAGGCCAATCTTCCAAGTTTATTATTTTAAAGTTAAATTAGAGTTTAGTTCTATTTTTATATTTTTACGTTAGACCCCGAGTAGCGGGTCTGTGTATTCCGAAGTACGAAAGTTT